GAGTTTGGTTAGTCTAGAGCAGGGGTAGTCAACCTTTTTATACCTACCGCCCACTTTGTTAGTAGTAAAATTTTCTGACCGCCCACCGGTTCCACAGTAATTGTGATTTATAAAGTAGGGAAGTAACTTTACTTTATAAAATTTATAAAGCAGAGTTACAGCAAACCCCTACCGCCCACCATGAAAGCTGAAACGCCCACTAGTGGGTGGTAGGGACCAGGTTGACTACCACTGATCTAGATCAAGGTTGAAATGACCCATAAAATTTATCCAACTTTGACACAAATAAATGAAACATTAATATGCTTAATGTAAGCTATTGTTTCAGGACAGAAAAACAAGCTTACACAATAGATTAAATATGAGGATCCAAATTTCAACCTTGATCTAGATCAGTGGTAGTCAACCTGGTCCCTACGGCCCACTAGTGGGGGTTCCAGCTTTCATGGTGGGCGGTAGGGGTTTGCTGTAACTCTGCTTTATAAATTTTATAAAGTAAAGTTGCTTCCCTACTTTATAAATCACAATTACTGTGGAACCGGTGGGTGGTTAGAAAATTTTACTACTAAGAGAGATACAAAAGTGGGCGGTATGTATAAAAAGATTGACTACCCCGATGTAGATATTCTGGAGCATATGAAGGTTTCAGAGATGGAATATATCTATAGTGTTTATATATTTTATTCAGAGTAGGGAAGTTTTGTTGCACACAATGGAAAGTAGTTCTTATCTTAGTTTTATCTGACATTGAAACATATATCCTATTTATATATAGTTCCAGCAATATACATTTGGATCCACAAAATATTTTTGAATGATAGCTTTTATGTTCTTTGCTTCTCATTTAAGCTAAAAAATGTTTTAAAAATAGTTGAGTATGCGACATTTGTTTGTTGTAGTCTAATATAATTTATAATTTTAATATTGCTTTTTCACTTTTGCTCTGTAAACCAAAAGATTAGATAACTGTACAATAATTGCACAATAATAACAATTTGTTATAATTTCACAAATTGTTTTTAAGAAGACAATTATCTACTAATAACCATTATAAATTTGAATTCTGCAGGTGTTGGAGAAAGCCTCACTGATCCATCTGTTATTAAACCTGAAGACAAACAGTAAGTATAATCACGTAAATGTATCATATAAAATGTGATGTATACTCCATGATTCAATTAATCTTCGATATTAACTGTAATGCACATATACATATTTTTATTCATTGCTGACAGTGATGTTCTTTTTGGTTAACAGCCCAGTTTTGTATATGTATCTTTTTACCCAGCTGATTAAGAATAATGTAATGCATTGACAAAAAGGTAACTGAAGAAAATTATAATAAAGCTATAAATGCAGATATTTACTGAAAAACCTGGCAACAGAAGTGATAAATATTTGACTTATATTGAATGGACATAACCGATTTCCTGGTTCATTTCAGATACAACAAGTAGTGCTGAGGTTACTATATTGTTTCTTGTGCATTAAATAGGCCTTTTAATCCTAGGAATGCACAAGAAACAAACTACAGTTAATGAAATGCTATCTAACCACAGTTCTCATAAGTAATGCTCATGACACTAGTTGAAGGATTAAGTTTTACCCTCCAGCTACTTTGTAAAGTGGTATCTGTGTCAAACTAGACTGTGGCTATGAGTTTATAACATTAATTTTTAATAAGTGCTACATCCTCTAGGCTAATAGAAGCTCACACAATGAAGCATTTTGTTATTCCATTCCTCCTGCACTCATCCTCCAATCTGTTTGGGCAGGTCCCCCCCAAAACCAGGCATCCAACTAAGGGTATTTGTGATATGCAGGTGGAAAAGATGTGTACAGATATCATGACATTAATTACTCCTTTGTTATTTTCAAATTCTAGAGGGATGACCTTCGGACCGGCAAACCTTGGAGAAGAAGCCTTCAAAAATTTCATTTCAAAGCACTGCTGCAATTCTTGTTGCAAGAAACTCAAACTTCCTGGTATGCCATAGCAAAGCTCTGAAGAACGTTTTTGAACAAATTTGGCCTTAGATCTAATTCCTGAATCTAGGACTGAGCTCATTGAATTGACGTTGGTAACAAAATATTCCAAGAAAGAGTTGTATAAATTAACATTTTCCATTAATATTTTGAGGGTCTGCACACTACTAACATACTGTAGGTCTAGAAAAAAAGCATCACAAAGCCTTATTTTTTGGTTTTCTATTTCAAATCGATCTGGCAAACTTTAAATATGGGGTGCACTTTTTTAATGCTAAAAGTCTTACCTGGCTTTTCATGATCCATTCCAAAGATGGAAGGAACAAGAAAAGGAATGAATAAAAAGAAAAAAAATATTTATATTACATTCCTTATTATCATATTAAAAGTGGCCATTTTTGTAGAGGCCTCAAGGCCTTGGACCTGTGCACTAAAATCATGTCCTTTCTCTAAATAGTATATTAGATTAGTTTTTTAGTAGAGTGACTACAGTAAAGCGGTAGATTTGAAGGTTAAATAAGCAGCCTTCACTTCTTTGTTTTACAATCTAATGAATTATAGGAAGGAAGTAATAATAAAAGTATTTATTTTCAATCTGTATAATTAGTAAGTTTTATGAAGGTGTCATGCATAGTTGAAGCTATATCCCTTCAGTTACTAATATGAATATATTTTACCAAAATCCATTTGGACGATGGTTGTGATGTTATTCTTTTGGAGTTCTATCTACTTATATTTGGGTCCTGCAGCAAACTTCAGAATGATAACATTGATCTTAAAAGATATCTCTTCTAGGACCAAAGTTGCTGCTGTTAAGAAGATAGAGTGCTGAGTTACAAAATGGGAATCTCTATGGTGTATCATCTGATTTATTCATATATTTTGTCTCTGGGCAAATGTTGGAATATCCTTCACTGTTCATATTAGACACCAATGTCCGATGAAAGATATGGCACAAGAAGAAGAAGTTAATATTAGAGGACTTCACTCTTCATGTCCTATACGTGGTATCAGAGAGTCATGATTTCCACAGCATGAATTCCATGATTTGTCCCAGATAAACTCTGCCTCATGCATATGACAACATAGGTTAGATGTTGATTTTGTCCCATAAACAACTTGTGTGCTGTGACCTGGATATACAAGGCCTTACACTTTAGTTCCTCCTATGGCCTCATACCTCATAGTTTAGATGTGTTCTGACCCAGCCTTGGCAGAAAAAAGAAACAGACTTCTTGTCATGAAAAATCCCTCTTTATTTACCTCTTGTAAATTAATGGCATTCACACACTGCAAAGTCCAGGCAATAGTCCTTCAAAGAATTAACTGAAGTAACAGACCTTATCAGTTCCTTGCGATAATTGCAAGGCCATGAGCTCCCATCGGAAAAGCTGCAAATTAAGTTCTAGCAATCAGTCTCTGTGGCATGAAACATGGTGAGCAAAATCTTCAGAAATACGAACTGTTGTCTCCTATGACAACAACTCTCCTTTCCTTCTATTTTTTCCCCAGCCAGGGAGGAGCCATTCAGCATCCACATGTGTTCCCGAGTCGACTCCTTGTCCTCTGTTGTTTACCTCTCCTAACAGCTCTGCTTATACATGCATCTAGAACAAGCCCCAGCTGTTCTTCCTCCTCACTCAGATTAGCCTTCAAAGCAGCTGCCTCTCTGGTGGCTGAGAAATGTCAGACGACACGGTTTCTATCTCTGCGCCTGATGCAGCGCATCCATCAGAACCTTCCCCAGACTCCAGAACTGGACCAAATTCTTCCCCAAGCTCCTCATCATCCGAGTCTGCTGCCAGCTCTGCTGGCAGCTGTGGGGCCACAACAAGTTGGGATTGATTGTCACCCAGGACTTTCTTGAAAAAGTCCACAATAATGGATGGATTTGGAGGGAATATGAAAGGTGCTTGGGGAGTTTTCCAATATCTAGTGGGCAGTTCTTTTGATTTAGGTAATTAATTTCTGGTAACAGGAAGTAGCTTGGAGGCTTAATGTTCTCAAGTGAATTTTTTTTCTATTGGTTCATCTTAAGGAGGTCTGAGCAGCAATGGAGATGAAGCAGGAGACATTATTATTATTATTATTATACAATTGTATCACAGCGGCCAGTTGTTTCGCCGGATTTGGCATTGGTTACTAGTCGGGCCCCACCCAGGGGCCTAGGACGTCATAACGTATTTTCGTAATATGCGTGCAGATCCAAGCAGTGCGGCTTTTTGCATTTGACTGATGGTGATTTTGTCAATTTTTAACTGTTTTAAATGTAATTCCAGTGCTTTTGGAATAGCACCCAGTGTGCCAATTACCACTGGAATTACCACTGCTGGTTTGTGCCATAGTCGTTGAATTTCGATTTTTAAGTCCTGGTATCTTGCGATTTTTTCATGTTCCTTCTCGGCGACCCTGCTATCACCGGCGATTATTATTATTATTATTATTATTATTATTATTATTATTATTATTATTATTATTATTATTATTATTATTATTATTATTATTACTAGTAATAGTAGCACTGGGTATTTTAATGCTGTATATAGCTTGTATGTTTGTTATTGTTGGGATCCTTGGAAATTGCAGCATGTAATAAAGATATATTATCTAAGATAAAGCTTTTTTCTGTTTTCATAGATTTGAAAAGAAATGATTATGCATCTGGGAGGGTCAATCCAGCTTTTGAAATTGAAACTGAAATACCAATGGCAGCAGAAGATGAGAATGCAAACAATAGGGACGATGAACCACTGGAATATTATACTCGGCTGTGAAGCAAGAGCTACTAATTTTCATCATTAGAATTTTTTTTCTGAAGGGCCAAATCCTGGGAATTCTACTACCTCCACTGTCTGTACTTTTTTAGAATAAAGAAATAAAAAACATTAATATGAAATCTTTTGCAAATGAATTCCTTCTAAAATAAGGAGTCTTCTCTGTTTTTAAAGGTTATTCACCAAGGTCACTGGATTAATTGAAACAGTGCCAGTGCTTCAATTTATGAATGTTTAAAAGTGTGTCACTTAAAACAAGAACAGTTCTTATGATTCTGAGAAATTGGAGAATTTTCTAGAAACAAATTCAAGGAAATCCCCCAGTTGGCAACCAGAAATATTCAGTCCTGGTCAAAGGTGGTCAAACTTGTTGACAAAATAGCCAGATAAAAGTTGGGGTTCAAAATTTCCAAGAAAAGAAGTTCCAAAGTCCATGAGTTTCATATGAAAAGGTCTCCAGCATTTATATTTTACTAGCGGATAACCCGGTGATGCCTGGGTATTTATTTATAGGGGGAAAATGTCCAGACCAAATGTAATTTCTAATGTTGGATTTTCCCTCTTACCAGAGGGAGCCCCTTTGTGGAGTGCTCTGAATCTGTTACCATTGCAACTCCGGGGCACTGTACAGTAGAAGTCAGTATGGCAGTATGACACAACAGGCTGCATTTTAATAGAACACCCCCAAAGGATATTAGGGTGTCTTACCCCCACATTTGTTTCCAGAGAGTAAGTCATCTGTGTACCAGGTTTGGTTGAAATTGCTCAAGGCGTTCCAGAGTTATGCATAACATAACATAACATAAACACCCACAGCCATTTTTATATACAGTATATAAATGAATGAATGTTTTGCTCATCTTTTTACTTTAACTGAGTAGTTCTATAATTATGGCTGGCAATTTTAATAAAGTTTTGGGTGTTTGGTTTTGTGTCCTGCGGCGGCAATAACTGAGGAGGCAGTAATTCACTCAAACATTTATTAACGCGGACAACGCTAGAACTGACAGAACAACACAAACCACGTCTCACAGCTATTTATACTTGTAGCTGTCAGACGGGGAACCAATGGGAGAGCTGTATTTCTTCCGCCGGCCAGCAGGCGTGCCTGGACCAATCAGGGGCTTTTTCCTAGACGCCACCTGCCGGCCACGTCTACTAGAACACAACATTTGGGTTAACCATGGCTTCACTTCAAGTAAGTTCTGATCACATAGACTGAAAATATTTATTAAATTCAATTGTGTGGGTATCTGTTAACATTTGAACTCATTCCAATGAGAATGTACTTTACCCCCCAGTTCCCCATCAGACCTGTTCCTTATATTTTTTATAATGAGATTTTCATTGATTATGTTTGTGTATGTGTAAATAAAACCAGTTCTTGTATAAATGTGCTGTAAGTTATTTAGGATTTGATCAAACTTTAAATTAGAATATCAGAAAAATAATTTTCATACGATCACCTAACATGGAAATACAAGGTATAGGATCTTATTGCAAGTCAGATTTAACTTAACTTAACTTAACTTAACTTCATGTTTTTTTATCCTGAGCTGGAATCAAATTGTCAGGGCTTCAGGCATTATCCCTACAGACAAAAGGCAGACTAAACAAAGATCTTTTCTCACAAAATTATGTGAGCTACAGCCCTTCTCAACAACAACAACAACAACAATGGAATGTTAGTATTGAAACAGTGTGAGGTATTTCAGACAGAGCTCTGAATGAGACTGCACTGTGTTGCCTTAAAATAAAATTATAAGAAGAAAGATAACTAAATCTTCTATATGAATGTATCTGTCAGATGTTTTCCACAGTCTTTATAATGAGGGTTAGAGTAAATTAAAAAAAAGAAGTAGAAATGCACTGTAGACACACAGTGTGGTATGCAAATTTAACACTTTTGTCAATATTAATTGTCAACATTTATCAAATGTGCCTTGTTATTTCAAGAGCTAGTATAATTTTGCTCTTGGAATGGTTAATAATTTCTCTTGAGTCCTCCAACTTTTAGGAACCAATGCAAGGAAAGAAAATCTGAAATAAAGAATAAATCTGTTTTTACTTAATATGTAAGTAAAATCTCTATCTATCTCTCTCTCTCTCTCTCTCTCTCTCTCTCTCTCTCTCTCTCTCTCTCTCTCTCTCTCTCTCAGAGAGATGAGGAATAGATCTATTTAACATGAACTGTACTGGACATCATTGCCTTCTTATAAGCACATGAAATAAATATATTATGCGGAAGTGACTGTCTTTATAATTTGTGTGCTCAAAAGCTAGGGGGAAAACAACAACAAATTGGCAATTCAATGCTTAAGGGAAGAGGCAAGATATTTGGGTAGGAAGAGGGATTGTTTGTATCCCCTGACATTTTCTAGCATTTTTACCATTATTGAAATCACTACGGCTTGCTTTTATTACCATAGTTTTGTTACCAGATATATAACCTTCTGATAACTTTTGATCCTGTTTTTAATATCCATCTCTCTCTCTCTCATCTCCCATCCATCCATCCATCCATCCATCCATCCATCCATCCATCATGCTTTGTTTGCATTTTTTGTTACAAAATACATGTCAGGGAGATCCCCTTAGCACTATTGAAAAACTGCCTCCTGTGAAATTGTACATTTTGTGGTCACTTTATTACTTTAGGTTCAACTCAACAGCAGGCAGATAAACAACCATGAAGTAACTCTTTACATAAGTAGCCTTTTAATCTTAATATACACTGCACCAGTAAGGGCCCCATGGAGAATTTTAATTCATTGTTTGCACTGGTGGGTGATTATGAATGCTACAAATTGTAGCCATGTCAACAGCAAACACTGACATAGTGGAGATGTTACAGTTGATGTGCTCAAATTCAAACCTTCCTTTAATCTAAGAGATTTTTCTGACAGAAGATCAAAAACTGTCCCAGGAAGATCTCTACCTTTGCCTAGGTGTGATGCTAGATGGAGTAGGGCCCCAGGGCAATCCTTGAAGACTTCTTAATGCACTTGGTTGTATCTGAAGGGCCTCGTGCTAGCAATATTTTAACACAGGTGATTAGCAGAGGCTGCAGAAACAATGCTGAACTGGTCAGAGAAAACTGAGATACCAGTTGAACCTTGAAATGGCAGGACAAGAACAGAAGTATAATGTTCCACTGGCACAAGAGAAGCAACATTAAAAGCTATTAGCTTGCCATATTAAATACATTGAGAACTGAGGCATGGATAAAATCCAAAGCAGGATTAACCTTTCCACTCTAACAATTTCCTATCCATACTGTTAAATGAAATAATTAAACTTTCTTGCTGCCCATTCAAATGAACATCAGCATTCTCTTCATACCATTCAACTTTTATCTACAAATGAATAACAAAAACAACAATAAGAACAACAACTTGAACACCATGGGCATTGACAAATTCACTGTCCATCAATTGCAAAAGGCATGTTTACTAGGAACAGCTTCCATCCTGCGACAATATCTGTAACGCCATCAAACATCCAGACCTGCTTATCCCAGGTCCTTGTCAAGGACTCGATAGGGAGGCAAAAATGCTAAACCCAGTCTGAACATTTCGCAATGATCAATAATTATAACAACAATAAAAACCTCAGTCAATGAACGAGGCCTGAACAACATTAATTTTACTATCACTCCATTCACAGCTTTGTTCATTTGAAGAAGACCACAATTATCCACAAATCAATGGAAGAAATATCATTAGTAAAAACCTAGCAGTTCCTTCCTCAAAGGTAACCTCATTATTCAATTCAAATTGATTAAGTATTAAGTCTGCCCAAGTCCAGAGTTGGCATCTTAAGATGGGTGCTTTCTGACGGCAGGCAGGCAGCTTGACATAGTTTCTTGGCATTCTGCAGCTCTTCTAAATCAAGCATTGAAAGCCTGCCTTCATCAATGATCTCAATAGTATAGCAAACATGTGTGTGTGTGTGTGTGTGTGTGTGCGTGCGCGCGCGCGCGCTCACATATACATAAAAAAGTACAGGTAGTCCTCAACTCATACCCACAATTGAGCCCATCATTTTCATTGCTAAGCAAAAGGTGAAGTGAGTTTTGCCCCAGTTTTATGACCTTTTTGCCATAGTTAAGTAAATCACCAGTCGTTAAGTGAATCATGCAGTCGTTAATAAAATCTGGCTTTCCCAATTGACTTTGCTTGTTAGAAGACATTTACAAATGGAGATCATGTGACTCCGGGACACTGCAACTGACATAAATACCCTGTCCACAACACCCTGGTCTACTAATTTAGTAATAAAGTAATAAAGTCTACTAATATAAACTTTATATTAGTCAAAGAATGAAATAAGATTGGTTTGGCATGATATGTATTTAACAAACCTATGCTGCCTACTAGTTATAACATGATTTGTTTCTAGATGTTCACAGATATGGTTTTTCATTAGTTTTTCCTGTATCTTCCCAGGTATTGATGTAAGGCTGGTTGGTCTGATTGTTCCTTGGATCTTCCTTTTTTGAAGATGGGAACCATATCAGCTTTTTTCCAACCCTCTGGTAGTTCTCTGGGATTTTTTAAAGTTACGGTACAATGGTTCTGATATAATATCTGCCAACTCCTTCAGAACTCTGGGATGTAAACCATCAGGCCCCAGTGACTGATATTCAACAAGATCAGAGATGTGTTAGATCTGATCAGATACAGATTTCAAGATCCCCTTTGGAAGACTGGAGGTCATAGTGGTGTGCAGTGCTTGGATTCAAGGCAGAGGAAGGTGGTTCAGCTCCAGAATGAGAACCCTCTTTCTATCCCTGGATTGTTCCTTAAAGAAGCTATAGATTCTCTTGAGCTTTTCCAGTAGCTGCATGAGTTCAGGAAGATACAAATTTCACTGTAGGAAGGGACTACTTGGCAATCTGTTCAAGTGAGCCATTGCTATTGATAGCCACTCATATGGAGGCACTTAAATGAATAGACTTTGTCCCAGGAGACCCAGAGAAATTCATAGAAATATCGCTGAAACAGGAGATGGATGTACATGCCAGCTTCCCATTAAAAGTCAGGTGAGAGAGGGATCCCACAAGTGGTTGTCAACAGACACATTGGTCACTTTGGGGACCACAATGGT